GGAAAGGTTTTTGAACGAGATACATTGATAAGAGTTCTCTAAAGGGTAGGAAATACTCTAAAGATCATCATGGAGCGTTTCTGCCACTGAGAGTAACGGACTGAATTCGACGAGTCGATCCTGCTTCAGTAATTCATCCAATGTCAGCCTTCGATCACCATCACTGTCTATGGCGTCGATAAGTTCGGATGCCTGAAAAACAGTGAGCGGCTTTGAGTGTACGTTATGGTGAAACGTTCTTTCTCTAAATCGAAGAGGTTCGCGCTCGTGAGGGTTGAACTCTGCTGCGATTTGAAAATCTGTACTTGCCGAAACCAATATCTCTTTAGGCGGCGGTGTCAAAAGTGACCTTTTCCGTTTATACTCACCTCAGCCGCAAGACTTTTTGCGTTTTGTGGATTGATGTACTCGAAAATCTCATCGATGGTGGCCACTCCGTCACCGTTGGCGTCGATTTGTTTGTTGAATTCGGCTTCCCTTAAATGCTATATACAGGGTCCAATCACTATTTTATTATATAGTATGTGAGGATCGACCACAGACGCGTGCGGGCGCAACGCGGCATAATCAATGAGCTCTAAAAATACACGCATGACACTTCGGCGTACCCACACGTAATATATCTTGTCCTTCTTTGATCGGATGACCACGAAAAGTTGACTTTCATGAAGGGTACAGCATCACGAGAAACGCCAGCTGACTGATAAATCACCTTTCCGCCTTCCTTTTTTGGAGCGATTTGTCGTCATCTCCCTTCTCTGATGGGCGTGAAGCCGAGAATTCTTCTCTGGTCACTTTTCCATCACCATCCAGATCTGATAGTAAGCTGAATTTTGGAGTATGACAACAATTTACCGTAGTAATCGAATGCTTGCAAATATTGGATATTAAGGTGAATTGAAAGTCAACGCCATTAGTGGCAGATTTTAGGATGTCATCGCTCAAGAGCTTCTGTGGTCGAAAAGAGGATTGAGCCCAAGAAAAGACAACAAAAAGCGTGAGTAAGCCTACCGTACAGCTTTAAGATGTCACCAGCCATCTCCTTCAAAGAATCCTTGTTGTGTTCTGGATGGAAAAATCTGCAAAATTTATTTTGAAAAAAAAAGAAAAAAAATTCATAGGTGCTTGTGTGGAGCTTGACCGATCTCGGTCTTATTTCACCTGTGGAACTTCTAAAGAAATATTTATTTAGTTATGTGAGATTCCCTTCCTCTGTGTTCTCAGCTTCTGGGTGGCTTCGAGGAGGGGCCTTATTTACAAGGTGGCTGCCCTAACAATTGATCTCGAGCTTCAACAGAGTTTTAAAGACGCTTGACTGGTATTCGTAAATTGCCTCAATCCTTTCAGACCCTTAAGGCAGTGATCCTTTCGAAACTTAAGCCGTTCAAGGTTAACTAAGAATCTCGTGAGGGGTCAAGTAAAAGAAAAGCTCGTAAAAGTGCTCGGTGGAAGAGAAAGTCATTCTCAGGATACGCCAAACATTCAGCTGTCCTTCAGGATCATAGTAGCATTTGACAAAAAGCTCCTCCAACAACCCCCGCTGCCCCTCGGTGGAAGGAGAAAGTCATTCTCAGGATACGCCAAACATTCAGCTGTCCTTCAGGATCATCGTAGCATTTGGATGCGTATATGTCCCATACATCTATTTGAAGGTGGACGATCGGTCATCATTTAAGCTCTTATTCTACCAGACTCTTTCACTGCAACTCTTCGACGTCGGAGACGAAAAATCATCTGGTCTGCGCGAAGTCTGGCCTGCGATTAGATTCACACAACCTCTGTGAGATAGCGGCGGGACTTGCCACTGCACCACGGCAGAAGTTTTTGAAGTTCAAAACCCTTCAAGCTCTTCGCTGATTTCAATATTTCTGATAGTTAGATAGGAAAGAACCATTAAATTAATAAGAAACTGAAAGTGGTAGAAAATGGACCTATCTATCTATGGTATTGATCAAAAATGTCCATTGGTCCTCGGTACGCTGTAAGACTTTCAAGATGAAGAGAGTAGTGAGCCTACCTTAGCCATTCTTCAGAATCTAGCAACCCGTTATTGTTCAAATCGGCTCTGTCGAATGACGCTCGTTCACCACCAGCAACAGAATCTTCAAAGGAGAGTTCACGATAGACGTAATAAGGCAGTTCACATAGACGAAATAGGGCAAGGAGTTTGGACCGAAAAAAAAGACGAAAGCGAACAAGGAAACCGTTACCGTACCAATGTCGTTCACATTTTCATGATCATGTCCGTCTTTGTGAGAGTCCTTTGAGAGGTAGTGTGGTTTGTACTCATGCCATGACACCTGAAGCACAACCCTTTCAACCATGGTAAATTCTAGGGTGTAGGTCAGGAGGTCTCGATTGCGGCGGCGCTAAGATACCTCACGCGTTGCGGTGTGATGCGTGTGCAGTGCGCTGCGTCTCGCAATGTTTATGTAGCGCGTGCAACGGCTACTTGCAATGCAGCTATCTTCGTATCGTCGCAATCGAGGCCTTGTGGCGCAGACCGTAAGCTTTTAAAGGAATCCTAGGAACAGCTGTGCATTTTTCTCATTTAACTGTGTGGCCATGGACATAAAAGAACATTCGCGAAGTTCTGAGCGAAATTAGTGAAATCAAGAGAAGCTCCAGAAGAAGTTCATCTACAGGAGTGCATCTGCCAGGGTGTGTGGGCGGGACCGGAGCGGAGTGAATGAAAGGTGGAGCCACGAGTAATTCTGGGAAGGCAAGTGACCGAGCGGGTATCTCTTCCTGCTATACACATGCTCGACGATGTAACTTAGGCCGTTCTGACGGCAGGGTCAACCGTGCGTTACGCGGTTACCTACAGGACAGGGGGGGGGTCGTATTTGAGGTGTTTGATTTTTTTAGAAGGAGTAATGGGGTACTCTCCGCAGCTAATAGTGGTGGTGGGGGTCGTATCGAGAAGTCCCCTCCTCAAAAGACGATTTTCGAATTGCCGGACTGGGAACAATTGACGGTTGTTCTCGGTTCTAGCCCCCTCCTCCTCCAATAAAGCTCTGCTTTTGAGCTTGCCTGTTCAACTGTGATGTACACATACCTGACCATCCTTGTTTGTGTCTACTATGTTGAAATGTGACTGTGCCTCCAGAATCGCTTCTTGTAAATGAGCCCGAGTATTGTTCACGATTCGCGCCT